AGAGGGGAACAATCACCTCTCTGTCCCTGCTGGCCACCCCTCTTTTGATGGAGCCCAGGATCCCATTTGCATTCCGAGGTCCTGGCTTCTTTGATGTTTGATAAGCTTGCTGTTCTTTTGCTAAGACTCTCTTATCCAAACAGAATAGCCTTACAACATGCTATCTAGCCCATAATACTATACCCATACTATTCGCAACATTCAAAAACTACTGCAGCTTTGCAAGCGAGAATTAATCACGTAATTGAACAGCCATGTTTCTAAAACATGCCCTGCGCGCTGCCTGCGTCAGCTTGGAGGGGATGGCAGAGCGCCGCCTGGCGGCAGAAGCGAGCAGCGCTGCGTGCCACGGCCAGCCCTGCGGCGTTCACCGCGGTCTTCTGATCCGCGAGCACCGGCTGCTGGGGACTGGTGGGAGCGGACGGGCTGATGGAACGGGCCCGACCGAAACGCAGCTGCAAAGACGGTGTGTGCCTGCGGAAAGTGGCGGTGTGATTTAAATCAGCTTGCTCGCAGGCACAGTGCTGTGTGCCCGTGGTCCCGCAGCGCTGTGAGTCTTTGACGAGGGTTTTGTAAAGAGAACAGGATGTGGCCCAAAATCTGGGCTGTGCATTGTCCTGCTGTAAACTGTGCTGTGCCAGGTGACCAAGCAGGCACAGTGAGGTTGGAGAGGCCAGGTATTGACACTGCTGCAGAACGAGGCAGGAGATGCTTCTGTTTGGATATTAGTAAAAATTTATTCTCAGAAAGTAGTGGCAGAACAGTCTGCCTGGAGAAGTGGTGGAGTCACCCTTCTGGAGGTGCTCAAGAACCCTGGAGATGTAGCACTAAGGGACATGCTTAGTAGGCATGCTGGGGATGGGTTGGGCTAAATGACCTTTGTCTGCTTGGCAGGGGGAGCGTGGATGATGCATGGCAGGCATAGCTCACAGGTACTGGGGCTTAATGGGGCAGCTTGTGTCTCAGAGTTGCAAGGATCAAGGGGGTGGCTACAGCCATAGCACGCCATCATGAGGTGGATGAAACCACATCCTCAGTGGAGGGAGATGGCACCCTCTCAAAGGCTCCCTTCACTGGGGTGCCCCAAAGCACGCTGGGCAGACTTTTCATCTCTAATGCCCCAGCACTTACTAGACATGTCCCACACATGGTGAAGGCCGTGCCATCTTGCTGTGCTGCTGCTGGGATCCCTTAAGGATTGAGGCATTGTCACAGCCACCAGTGAGGGCTGTCCTGGTTGAGCACTTGCCCTGGAACCCCCATTGTCTTCCAATGCCAAAATCTCATAGAATCCTGGAATCATTTGTTCCCCTACAATGAACAGGAACACCTATAGCTTCATCAAGTTCTCAGAGAGCCAGTCCACCCTGACCTTGAATGAAAAAACTTCTTCCTTAAATCCTGTCTACATCTCCCCTCATTTAGTTTGAAGCCATTTCTCACTGTCTTATTACAACAAAACTTGCCCCCATTTCTCTTACAGACCCTCTAATGGGGGGTCTCAGGGCTGCTCTCAGGGCCTTTTCTTCTCCAGGCTGCACAGCCCCAGCTCTCTCAGCCCGTCCTCGCAGGGAGCTGCTCCATCCCTGACCATTTGTGTGGCCCTCCTCCGGACGCTCTCCAACAGGCCCCCGTCTCTCCTGTGCTGAGCACTCCAGCTGTGGACGCAGTGCTCCAGGTGAGGTGTCACAGCGCAGAGCAGAGGGGCAGGATCCCCTCCCTCGCCCTGCTGGCCGCGCTGCCCAGGATGCAGCCCAGGATCCGGCCGGCTGTCTGGGCCGCAGGGCACACTGCTGGCTCACGCCCCGCTGCCATCCAGCGGCACCCCCAGGTCCTTTCCGGCAGGGCTGTGCTCTGTCCCTACATCCCCGGCTCGTACCGGCAGTGGGGGTTGCCACCACCCGGGTGCGACACCTCACACTCGGATTTGTTGAACCTCAGGAGGTTCACCTGGCGCACTGCTCAGCCCGTCCAGGTCTCTCTGGATGGCGTCCCGTCCCTCGGCCGTGTCGACCGCACCACGCAGCTGGGTGTCATCCGCAAACTGCTCAGGGTGCCCTCCATCCCACTGCCCGTGTCACTGATGATGGCATTAAAGAGCGTCAGTCCCAGAACTGACTGCTGAGGAACAGCACAGACTGCAGTTTGTACAGGGTTCTCACCCTGAAACCCTCTTGTCCACCAGTGCTATTTTCTTGCTATGTGCTTGACATTTTGTCCAGAATGATAGTGTGCAAAGCAGTATTGAAAGCTTTACTGAAATGCAAAAGGATTACTTGAACTTGTTTCCCTATATCAACTAGGTCGGTGATCTTTTCTTAAAAAGGGAATTTAGTTAAACAGGACTTTCCCCTCATGAACCCATGTTGGCTGTGACCCATGATTGCATTATCCTTCAGATGTTTTTCAGTAGCTCCCAGCATAATGTCTCCATAATTTTAGTAGGTGCTGAAGTGAGACTGACAGGCCTGTAATTAGCAAGGTCTTTTTGCTTGCCTTTCTTGAACAAGAACAACATATTCTGGAACAATATTTCCCAGCTTTCAGCCAACTGGGACCTCTCCAGATTTCCAAGACCGTTGAAAAATAATTGAGGTCTTGTGATGACATTGGCCAGCACTCTGAGTGCCCTGGGGTGGATCCCATTGGGTCTCATGGATTTAGTTGCATCTGTATGGAACAGCAAATTGCACACAAGTTGGGAGTTGGCTGGGAGCTGGTTGTCCCCTTGTCCCTGGACCCCCAGGGGTCCCAGAGCCCATCATCAGTGTTGAAGACAGAGGCAAAGAAGCCATTAAAGATCTCTGCTTTTTCTATGTCCCTGTTTGCAAGGTAACCATTCTCATCAAGTAATGAACCAACTTTCTCTCTGGTCCTTCTTTCATTGTTAACATATTTATCATTTAATATTTAATAATTTTATTGTCCTGCACAGCACTGGCCAGCTTTAACTCTAACTGAGCTTTGGCCACACAGTTTTTTTCCCTACAAAGGCAAGCAGCATCCCTGTGTTATTCTCATGTTTTCTGACCTTGCTTTCTGTGGCCTTTCCTTCTAACCTATCGAAGAAGATCCCTGTTCAGCCAAGCTGACCTTCTGGCCCAACTGCTTGACTTCTGACATTTTGAAATTGCCCATCCTTAAAAAGTGGCCAGCACTAATGGATCCCAGTACCTTCAAAAACAGTTTCCAGGGGGCCTCACTGACTAGTTCCCCGAGTAGCCTGAACTCTGCTTTCCCCATATCCAGGGCTGAAATTTTGGTATCCAAGTTCCTCTTAAAACCAAGGATTTTAAATTTGACTACTTCATGATCTGTGTGGCCAAGACGGTCACTCCATCCACAAGGCTTCTCAAACTATGTACCTAGGAGGGCAGTTTTCCTCGTTGGCTCCTCCAGTACCTGCACCAGGAAGTTGTCAACAAAGTATTTTAGAAATCTTCTGAAACTGTGAGGTGTTCCCACTTAACATCTGGCAAGTTGAAGACCCCATAAGGACAAAGGCGTTGATCTAGGGAGCATCAATAGCTCTGCCAGCCCGTGCCCTATTTCCTAATTCATGTGAAGGAGATACTTGGACTAAATATTAACTGAAAATGCAGGAAGCTTGTTAAAAGGTAACTCCAGACAGAGCAGCCAAGAAGGAAAAAGGCTGCAGCAGAGCAGCAGTGTAAATGTACTCTGCTCAGAAAGACTGAGAAGGAACTGCAAAAGCTCAACAAACTCAAGCCTGGGAGAAGGAAAGCATCAAGGATTTGGCAATGTGTCAGAAGAGGAAGAGGAATCCAAAAGAGAATGCTTTACTGACAGCAGCAGGCAGTCAATGCTAAGTTTTGTCCCCCAGCCACTGCTATCCCTGCTCTCCCAAAAACTGCCCTGAAATACTGCCCTACCTTGTCCACTGGCACTAAGGATTTATTCTGCTCTGAAACAGCATGCTGTGCTGCTAGTAACGCTTGTTGGAGGGCCTGCAGTACAGAGAAGGTACTCATCCCCCAGTCAAGTGCATACCAGTTGCTGGTCCCCTGCCTGCTCCTCTTTTGAGCTCAGCTGGAGGGGAATAAGAAGCACATGTGGTACAGCTCTGCTGTGAGAGGGAGGGTTTATTTGGCTCCTGGTGCATAAGCACAGGGATGCAGCAGGTGGGCAGCAGGACACAGTGAGGAGGCAGCAGAGAGCCCAGGAGCTGCAGACAGGATCGCAAGGCGCGGGCAGTGCTCCCCATCACTTGACGCGGGTGAAGACATTGGTGCCAACCCTGCAGGAAAACGGGTCAGTGGGGTGGGAGTGGGCATTGCAGGGGTGACAGCGAGAGCTATGCTCACCTGATGGCCTTCCAGGTGTCCTTGCGGGAGGGAACCTCTTCCCGCAGCAGCCATGCCATCTCCAGCGTCTCCTTCCCACGGCGGTCCACAAAGCACTGTCCCACAAAGACAGTGGTGGAGTCTGGGGGTAAACCAAGGGCTGAAGCCAGGGGAATAAAGACTGCTTTCTCTGATAGACAGACACCCTGAGTGCCCTGGGCTGACAGATAGCTCTGTCAGACCCTTAAACAGACAGACAGACACCCCGGGCAGAGCTGTCTGGCTACCTGTGGCCTTGCTGGTGCTGCCATACCTGCAAACTGCCACTGCACAGTGAAGCCAAAGGTGGGCTGCTGCCCCTTGGTGCCGGGGGGCTGCTGGGCCCCTTGCAGCGGTGACACCAGGATCTGCTTGTTGGTGACTGCTACCGCTGTCTGGTAGGAGCCGGAGAAGGTCCCAGCCACGTCCAGGGCTGAGATGGTCATGTTGGAGCCCAGCTCATTTCTCCACAGGCCCTGCAAATCACACTAGGACCAGAGGACATGGCAGTGTGTCAGATCACAGCGTGGCCCAGCACAGCACAGCATGGCAGCTGCCCCCAACATTGCAGCTTCGGCCGCTCTCACCTTCCTGGAGGCTGCAGGACCGAGGCCAAGCAGGATCAGGCCAAGCAGGAGGCAGCAGTGGAGGTGCTCCATGGCCAAGCTGTGCTCTGCCTGCAGCTCCAGTCCTGCTCAGAGCTGTTTATAGCGGTGGGGGCTGCGCGGGGCCCCTGGGCCGCCTGCCAAGGGTCACTGGCAGGAGATGGGCCACCGCCTGCAGTGGCAGAAGGGACGTGGTGACACAGACATTGCTGCCACAGCACTGTGTGGGGGCACAGGAGAGGCACCGGGAGGCCGTATGGGGGCAAGGGAGCCAGAAGTGCTGCCTGAAGGGATGTGACAAGAACTAGAGCGTGGCTGCAGTAAAGTGCTCTTAGAAGGAGAGTCAGGAGCAGTGTCAGCACCCTGGCATTGTCACCAGCTTGAGAGCAGCAAGGCTGCCCTCAGCCCACAGGTTGGGGAAATTGGTGTCAACCACAGGAAGACAAAAGTCAAGACAAAGGTGTCCCACCACAGTGCCGAGCAGCCTGCACAAGGAACCAGGTACGCTGTCACTACTGGGCCACTACTTCTGGCCTGAGCTCCCCCACAGCTCTCCAGTCATCAGTGCGTGACTGCATGAGCCACAGGGCCCTCTGGCCGCCTTCCCAGCACCTGGTGGCAGCTCCCTGTGAGGGCTGGTGACATTTCAGAACCCATGGTGGTTTCTTTGCCTTGTTGCACACATAAATGGGGAGCTGGCTGCTACCCCAGCTCTGCATGCAAAACCCCACCCTTGCACCTGCACACAGACCAGGAAGCACAAGGAGAGTGATGGACAGCTGAACAATAGTTTATTAAGAACTTAAAACAATTAATTTTCTAAAACCCGCTCCCCTGCCCACCCCAGCTTGCAGCACGGTGCCAGACCAGGCTGGGCACTGTTGGGGCTGGGATTGTCACCATGCCCCAGTGATTGTCCCAGCTGGGCCCCCCAGCTGCAGAGTCAGCCCAGGAGGCTACACACTACAGCATCCACGTGTCAGTGTTGGCTGTGTCCTGTCCGTCACATTCTGCAGGCCACATACCCCAGGACAGGTGTTGGGGCATGGGGGTCCTGCAGGAGCCCTGAGAACCAGGGAGGGGACAGTCACATATCCCCATCCTGTCCCCTCCTCTCACTACAATGATGACAGGACATAACACGTGCCTCTGGTCTCCTGTGCAGCACAGGGGCTGGGGATCCCCCAGAGCAAGGGGCAGAAATGTGGGGGCCAAGGAGGTATGAAAGAAAACAGCAATTTGAGCATTCTCAAGAGAGGGAGGCACAGGATGAGATCCCTGCAACTCTGCTCTGTGCCACCAATCTCAGGGGTGCAGAGGATTCTTTTGGGGTGGTGTAGGGCTGAGGGCCCGGTGGGCTTTGCTCTCCAGGGCCAGCTGCATGCTCCAGATGCTGAGGGGCCGCATGTATGCCAGCGAGCGGTAGACTTTTTTCTCACAATAGGCTTCAGGGGTCTGGAAAGCCATGCCCAGGTTCTCCCACACCGTTCGGTAGCAGCCCTCTGCTGTGTGGAAGCCCTCCTGCACCAGTCCCTGTGGAAAAAGGCTGCCACTGTCATCTCTGTGGCATGCAGATGACACATGCCAGCTCACCCCCTGGCAACCCGCTTACCTCCTGGATCATGGTGGCAGCCAGAGCGTAGACAACACCAACCCACACCTCACTGGACTGCACACTGGAGGTGTCAGGCACACCATCAGGTCGCATGCCATTCACAGCACCCATGGTGCCACCCGCAAAGCTCATCACATTCTTCTCAAAAATGGTCCTCAGTGCACTGACAATGTGGCTCTTGGGGAAGACCTGCGTAGAGAGAGCTCCAGCAACTTGGTGACATTTCTCGTAAGGAATAGGTCAGCACTGCATGCTGGTAAGTTAGAAAAACACCAGGTAGAAGGCCTTTTCCCCCAAAAAAAGACAGAGAGGAGAGGCAGACCTTTATGCCACGTTTCCCGACGTTGCCTAGTGACTCCTCCACAACTACATCTCACTCCTGCTTTGGGGTTTGCTTTGGGGACAGGCCAGCTACACTCCTCAAACTTGCCCTACTTGAATTCTCAGCCTGCAGTTATGGTCACTGCTGATGTTATTCAGGCTATTGCCAACTCAGAACCCAGGTTTTCTGCTGGTTAAAACTGCTGTCTCATCCCCATCATAGCTACTTCATGTAGCTAGTGTAGCCTGCCACCATCTACAACAGGCATTACAATGCCCAGAAAAGATCAGACACGGACCAGAGGTGGACAGAAGAATGAGTCAGGGATGCTGGAGGGGAAGTCTGTGGCACAGCCAAGGTAGTGACGTGGGGATACATCCTGCAGCTGAAAGGTAGGACTGTGGATACCACAAGAGTGATTACAGTATGTGTTGGGAATCTTATCAAAAGATCTGAACATTGAAAGTTACCTAAGCAAAAAGGAGATTCAGCTTCTGCACAGTAGAATAAGAAAAACTGAGCATGGTTTTCACAGATTTCAGAAGGACTTCAACCCCTTCAGGTTTGCCATTAGGTGGCAATGCAAGGACTGTGTCCCCGATCAAGGGTTGAGGTGAGATGAGACAGCATGAGGATAAAAGGTTGGACTGTGACACATGGGACACCTTGTGATTTTCTGCTTACGGCAGGAGAGCTCTGAGACTTTTACCGCTAGCAAAAGGCCTATGAAAGGTCAGCAGTGCTCACTGAGCAAACAGTTGCTTCAAGAGAATACAGGAGGAAAAACAAGTTATTCAACAAGCCAAAGCCAAGAGCTCACAAGAACTACAAGAACAAACTAAAGCACCATGCTGACTAAGCCCTCGCAAAACAAAACAAAACCAAAACAACTCGAGCATGAAAATGCCTGCCAGTCAAACAGCAAGGAGGACTGCATAAAGATGGAAAGACTCTGCATGTAGCTGGAAGTAAATAATGCTTCTCTGTGGTGCTAAAACTAAAAAGTCATAAAAAGGGCACTGGGACAGGAAATAGTCAGTTTGCTTGTCTGGCCACAGCACAGGATGCACCAACTTCTTGGGCACATTTGCTGGAAATGTTGAGGAAGTGGCAAGCATGGTGACATGCCACAGGAGCTTGCCAAAGGCTGGCAGAGATAACCCAGCAACTTTTGCAAACTCATCAGGGGGAAGGCAGTGGATCACTTTATCTGTGCTAAAGCCAAGCATCTGATACAGTCATGTTTTCCAGTGTGGATCTGGAGATAAGCAGAAAGGCTGCTTGGGAAACAGTCTTCACCAGCAAAAAAAGTTTCAAGACAGAATTTCTTCAGGACTGAGGTCACCAATTTGTCTTACTTTGCATTTCATTACTGACCTGCATACACAGCAGGAATGCATTAATGAAGTTACAAGCAGGAGAACTGCCAGCAGGCCATGGGATCAAAATACATGGAAAAAACTGGATGACCATAGTAAACAGAATTCATCAGTGCAGCCTTCAGCAAGCTCTGAGCTCACCAGAGAGCAGGGGACAAATGATACCTTAAGCAACAAAGTCAGACATCAACAAAAACATGGGCGAGATTTCAGACTGTGCCACATTTACCACTTGCATCTAAAAAGGCTGTTTGAGTATCGCTGCACAAGGCTGGAGGGCACAGCCAGATGCTGTCTCCTCACTAAGTCCCACAGAATTTGGCACACTGCTCTTGGGGGAGAAGCTATTGCATATTCTTTCCCACCACAGAGAGCTCTGCTCTGGAGCAGCAGGATCTGACAGCTTCCTTGGTCATAAGTAATCCACAGGAGTGCTCTCTGCTGCCACGCTGTGTTCCAGTACTATGTTACTTATCATTGTTCTTGCTGCCTCATCACACAGAGCAGCCTTTGGCCAATTCCTCCTTTGTGAGTAAAGAGCTGTGGGCCACAAATCAATCTCCATGTTCACCAACACTCATTTAGGACTTCAAACTGGGCAACAAACAGCATGTGGAAAGTTTCATGCATATTTTCACTGGTTTCTAAGCAAACACCATTTTGCGGAGAGCAGAGCCTGCAGGACCCTCCTAGAAGTGTACCAGGCTTGACCAAGGTTACACACTTTGCTCACGCAGCCCATTTCTGAGCTGATTTCCATTTAGTGCACTGAAGTGCATTAAGCCACCTCCACCCAAGTGCTGCCCAATGCACACCAGCATCTAGCACACAGCCCACACCAGGTGCTCGCCCTGCTGAGCTTTCACAGCCCTCTTCTCCTCACCTCCAGCTCCTTTTGGTCCAGGCCACAAGCCCCCAGGAACCACTGCCCCGCACACTGGTCTGACATGATGCTGCTGGAGGTGCTGCTCCCACTGCTGTCATAGTTGTAGTATTTTCCTGGAAAAAGCCAGAAATATGGCATACTGATGGCTGCTGTGCTGTTCTATCTCTCCTAACCTTCCCACTGGCCAGCACGCACCATTCCACAGCAGCCTTTCAAATGATTCCTTGCCCTTCTGCAGGATGGCACCATACTTCTGCCGGGTCTCGGTGTCACCCAGCACCTCTGCCATCTCACACATCATCCGGACAGCTGCCAGCCACAGCCCACCGCAGTATGCACTGCCAGAGCAAAAAGGACAATTGTGTTGGCAATGCTGGACACATTGCGCAGTGCTCTGGTGACATATGGGGAGCATATCCCCAATTCTGAGTTACCTCCCACCATTCAGCCCACACTCCTGGCTTACTGACCTGGCCCCGTTCACCACCCATGCATCATACGTCTGGTCAGCAGTGCCCCCGTTCTCAATAAGCCCATCGTTGTCAGTATCAAACTTCAGCTCCGACTCCATCACAGCCTGCAGGAGGCAGGAGGTGGTCATGAAGTATTCCTGCTGTGTCCCTCTCCGGATGTCTCCCATCTTCTAAGGACCCTCCCACAGTACCTGGCAGACCGGCCACATGTCCTGCAGGTACAGTGCATCGTGCGTCAGGTAGTAGTCACGATACACCTGCAGCACAAACTTCAGGTTCAGGTCCTTCCAGTTGGCAGTGTCGTGCATCAGATAGGCATTGACTCGCTGCCAGGGCTCATCATCTGCATGAGGACAGAGCAGATACAGCAGCACAGCAAGCAAAAGCCATCCCTATAAGGTCCCAGAAGTGTCACAATCAAAAAGCACCAAAGTGACACATTGTACCCACTGCCACCTCCTCTGCAAGCATCTGTTCAGCATCCCTGTACATCCCCCTCACCTGGATCCCCAATGTCATGGGGCACCACATTCTTCATCTTCACCTGCGCTGTTTTGCCACACACCAGGTACTGCCGTGGCTGCATGTCCTCGTTCAGCACTGTGACAGCTGGAAGGGTGTGGGATATTAGTAAGGCATCAAGCCCAAACCACAGGCATAGGCAGAGCTATCAGCACCCTGCTGTGCCCTGCAACATACAAGGGGACAACAGTCTGCTCCCAGTCTCTTGCAGCAAGGACATGTCCCAGTGCTGGGGGAGATGCTGAGTGGCATCAGTGGGACAGGGTTTGCTAATCAGAGCTTAGCAAGGAGCTGGAAGGCAATACCAGCCCCTCAGCACCAACACCCAAGGCAGAGGTCAAGCCCACAGCACCAACAAGCAACTCACCAATGTCATACTGCAGGCTGATCTGCAACTTGGGCCACAGCATTACAAGGGCAAAGGATGCATAGAAGTGGACATCATAGGTGTTGTACATACGGTACTCCTGCCCTGGAAGCAGCAGAGGGCCAGTGAGGGAGGGGAGACACAGAAGGACAGATCTCCCTCCCCATGCCATGCTTCATCCTGCAGGGGTGCAGAAAGCATCCTCGGAACAAGTAAAACAGGGAAGGGTGCACTTGGGACATGAGGTGCATTGTGTCCCAGTGAGTTGTTACCTTCCAGATAAGCAAACCTCCCATACTCCTGGAGGACAGGGAGGAGGTGGGACAGCTTAGCAGCCCCTGGTCCCTGCAGGTCCTGGGGGAGGCAGTCAGGGGGTATGTCCAGCCAGATTGTGCCCCCATCCGTCATGAAGTACAGCTCATTGAACAGGGCTGACTTGTACCAGGAGGGCAGCTGACTGCAGGAAGAGGGAAAGTCAGCCAATGACCCAGTCCCAAGTCCCCTGCCCAGTCACTATCCCCCATCCACCCCACCTGTCCTCCAGGATGGGCTTCTGCCATGCTTCAATCTTCCTCTCCCACTCCTTGTAGTGTGTCAGGGCATAGTGTGACAGTGCAGGAGCTGCATCCCCATTGCTGCCAAAGAAGCGTGTGTACCGCCTGCCAAGAAGAAGAACTCAGCTCAGGGGCAATCCAGAGAGCTCCACCTGGCTGTCCACAAAGCACCCACCTGAGGTGCAGTCTCTCCTTGGAGCCAAAGTGAACACGGGGCATGTCCCACACCAGGGCCAGCTCCAGTGTCCCATGGCCTTGTGCAGGCACCATGCAGCTGGCACACACTGCAGCTGCTGTCACTTCTCCCTTCTGCGTCTGCTTGCTTTTACCTGCCAGAAAGACGATGAAAAAAAGGTTCACAAAGTAACCAAGGAAGCCTACAAAGCCTGAGGGATTGCTGCCTCAAAGGAACAAAGTTTTCTGGTCCCCCTGCAACATGGAATGTATATCTGATGCATTCTGGAGGCAGCACTGCTGTGCATGAGCAACTGCTTTTTGCAACCAGGATAGAATACTTACCATGGGATGAGGGATCATAGGGGAAAAAAAAAAAAAAAAAAAAGAAATAAAAAGGGCATGGAAGCAGAGAGAGAAATGAGGCAGTAAAGCCAGCAGGCATGCATGGAATGACCCTGTCACCCAGAACTGTGCACTGCCAGCACAGGCACCAGCACTTTGCAGTGACAGCCACTGCCTCCAGCTTTCTAAAGGGTGCTTGAACAGCACCTGCATTTAAAAAATGTCCTCAAGCAACTGTGTAATTATACACTGGCCCTGACATGTGTACCAGGTAAACTCATTAAGGCAACAATTTTCAGGGAAGTATAGATCCTATGATAAGGTCCAGCATGCATAAAGGAAAAGCACATCCCAATAGCCTAGAGAGCTCCAAGTGCACTGCAGACAGCAGAAAGGAGTTTTTGTTTTCCTAAAATATTTAGGCAACTGGTGACATGAATCAACCCTCACGAAACATTGCAGAAGTCCAGTGCCAGCATCACAAGTCTGTCAGTGTCAGCAATCTGTTCTCTTGGAAGGCAGGCAGGGCGCTGGACACATGCGCAGCTCTATTGCAGCAGCAGGACAGCACGGGCTGCAAGGTGTCACCCTGCTGGAAGGCAATGAGCGAGCAGGCAGCTGAGGATGACGCAAAGTATCAAGGAAATTCCAGAGACCTTCAGGAAACCCTTGTGGCACAAGAGGGCAGCAGGTTACACCAGCTTCAGAACTCAAGAGCTGCTAAGTGCTCCCTAAACAAATCAGAACCAGCTCGGCTGGCAGATCTGGCAGCACGAACCTGGGGAAGGTGGCTGGGCACCACTACAGCCACATAGCAAACCTCAGCTCATGCTCCCCCCAGGCCTCTGAGACAGCACTCACCAGTGGGGGACTCCAGCTTGCCATCCTGCAGGAGGTCCTGCCACACGTCCCTGCCTGACCCCGCAGGGTCAAATGCAGTAAGGTGAGTGATGACTGTGCCAGCCTGGGGATAAGGAGAGCATCAGGAAACAGCTCCCATTCCGAAGCAGCAGGTGATGCAATTGGATCACCCCAGAGTACGTCTGAAGCTGGAACTTTCCTGGGTGGACAAAGCTACCCACCACCAATCTCACAATCATAAGCTTGGTCTCGTGCTGCCCACCAACACCACCCCCAAATCTGCTTGCCTGGCATCAAGCAAGCCTCACCCACTGCATTACTTGCTGGAACCCCAAACAACTGCTCCAGGGAGCTTGAAGACACCTTCCTGCTCCTATCCAGCTCCAAGGCTGTCCCCATACTGGGGACCACCCCACAGCCACCAGCAGCGCAGTCCCACTCCAGTCCTCACCTTCTCCCGGGCAGCCACGGCGAAGGTGAAGGGGTTGATGGGTGTACAGTGGTGCAGCAGGACACCAGCCACCCGCTCCCCACCATCCTGCAGGGCAAAGGGCTCATTCCAGTGCCCCCCGCTCCCATCCCCCTTTGTGCCCGTGCCATTCTGCAGGGTGAACATGATGGAGACATCCACAGGCTCCTCACTGTTGTTCTCCACCTCCCAGATGAACACACCCACCGGCAGGCTGGAGTCCTGCAGGGATACAACACGAACATAAGGGTAGGAAGTGAGCAGGACACAGTGTCAAAGCACTAATGGGAAGGGAACAGAGCAGCTGCCAGAGCAGAGCACAAGCAGCAAGGGATGACTCCTCTCAGCACTAGGTCTAGCTGTGACAAAGCAGCTGATACTGGGAATGGGATCTTAGTCTTAGGACAAAAATATCAGGCTGGGAAAGAAAATGATCAAGGAGGGAAGTCTGGCTGACAACAGTCGTGCCTTAGTGGCACCAATGTGGCACTCCAGGAGCACTGGGACCATTGCCATAAAATACCACATCACTCCCCAGCTCCTTCCTGGAGCTACTGCAGTACCTCAGGGCACAGGCGTGATACTTGAGGAACTGCCACCTCCTCACCTTGTAGTCATGGGGGATGACTGGGGAAATTTGGCGGCACGTGAGCACCACATTCTGCCCCGGCAGCTCATACACCATCCAAGCACGGGGGTACAGTGCATGGTAGAAGGCATAGCGGCCACAGTAACCCCAGTTCCAGCCCTGCAGAGCACTGGGTTTCTCCACAGACAGGACCTGCTGGTAAACAGTCTGTCCCTTGCGGCGCAGGCACACTGTGAACTGGGGAGAAAAAGAACACGGGGGAACAGGGTGAACCCCAAGGCAGGGGTCACGGTGCTGCAGGGGGGCAGGTGGCACTGAGCCCTACCTGGTCAGTGATGACTGTCTCATAGTGGTACTTCCCAGGGTTCAGCTGCCAGCGGCAGAACTCGCCCCGCCAGCCACGAGTGATGGTGCCGCCGCCAATCCCACCTAGTGGGCAGCCTGGTGGATGCAGGGGTCAATACTGCCCTATGCCCCAAGCAGCCCCTTCCTGGCCAGAAGAACCCAAGGGCCAGGAGCAGGACAATGCCTCCTACACCACCCCATGCTCAATCCAGGCTCACCATAGATCTGCTGCAGAGGGACAGCACACAGGAGGTCGATGAAGGCAGATTTCTTCTCAATGCGGGTTTTCTTGTACCACCACTTGAAGTACCTGCAGAGAAAGCAGGAGGTGTGATTGCAGATAGGAGCACTGCCATCCCTTGCCAACCCCGCAGGGCAGCAGTGCCCATCAGATAAACCCTCACTGTGGAGCTGGCCCCAGGCAATGCCCTCTCACCCTACTGCTCACCAGTGGGCTGCACTGAGCCCAGCCTGCTGCCCCTAAGGATGAACACACCTGCCCCACCTCAATGGTGGGTAAAGGCTTTTCCAACAAATCTGGAGGCAGAAGCAATGCTGCACTTGGCAGTATGAGGATAGCACACAGAGGTTGGGAGAACCAGCCCATCCTGTGCAGCCACTGCCACTATTGGCAGCTCCATCACTTTGCTTTGTGGAGGTGCCCCAGAGCGAGGAGCAGGGGGTGCAGAGCAGATCCCCACCTTCAGCTTTCTCAGCAGCACACAGCACAGGCGACCGAGATTTTACAACCAGCAGAAAGCCTGCCTGCACTGAGCCACACCAGGTCCAGAGGGCATTGCTTTCTGCTCAGCCTGGCACAGAGATTAAGCCTGCCCAGACAGCTCCCAGTGTGCCCTGTCACCACAACTGTGCCACCGGTACATCCAGGGTCGCCCTGCAGAAAGCTGCAGCAGCGCAAAGTCCCACACCGCATCCTCCCCCGCTCCAAGGCCACGGCACGGAGCACGGCACGAGGAAATGGTCAGCGGTGACAGCCTCAGGCACGTCCCCTGCATTGCGCCGGGCCGCGAGCCCAACCCTTCCCGGGGACGCACGGCAATTCCCTCCCGCTGGAAGGAACCTTTGCCCCGCACACGTCTTGCAGATGGCAGCGGGGCCGCGGAGCCGGTGCCGGCTGTTCCCGTACCCCATCTACAGAGCGGGGACGCGACCTCCGGGCCCCGGCGGGTACAGCCGGCGTGGGGGTCGAGGCCGGCACAGCGAGACGGGAACCGCGCAGAGCGCGATGACACGGCCGCTGCTCCCCTCCGCCGCTCCCAGCCGGGGTCCGGAAGGCTCCGGGGCGGCCCGTCTGCCCGGCCACCCTCCCCCCCCCTCTCCGTATCAGCCCATCACGGCCGCTCCCGCCCCATCCCCGCCGCACCACCCCCTCCCCCGGCCCGCCGCCGGTGCCCCTGCCCGTACCGCAGCATCAGGCCGACGTGCCGCAGTACGTCGCGGAACGGCACGTCGCCGGCTCCGTAGGGCTGCCGCTGCTCCGGGAAGCGGTGCGCCAGGCACAGCCGCCAGCCGGCGGTCTCCACGCCGCGGCCCCGCGCCGACCCCTCGTAGCACCGCATCAGTGGCTCCGCGTCCGCCATGGCCCCGGCGCGGCCACGGCCTTGTCCAGCCGCCCCCCGCCGCCACCGCCACCGGCGCCGCCGCGCCCCGCACGCGCCCTCTTCACCGCCCGCCGCCCCGCCCCGCCCCGCCGCTGCCGCTGCCGCCCCGCCCACCCCCGCGGGGCACGGCGCCCGCGCCTCCGGAAAGCCGGGCGGCCGAGCCGAGCGGCGCCGAAAATTGCCGAGCGGGTTCGAGCGGCGCTCGAGCGCTTCCGAGTTGTCCCGAGAGTTCCCGAAAGCCGCCGAGCGCGGCCGAGAGGTCGCCGAGGAGCGGGCGGCCCTGCGGCGGCGCGGAGCGAGCGGGGTCTCGGGGCGGTGAGTGCGGTGCGGGGCGGCGTGCGGGGCGGAGTGCGGGTCTGGGGCTGCTCCTGGGCCCTCGCCCCTCGCGGGGGGGTGCGGGCGGGCGCCGACGGCTGGGGCTGCCCCTCAGGCCTGGGGGAGGAGCGAGGCCGTCCCCGGGCCTCCTCCGTGCGTGTGTGGCGAGCGCCGGGCCTGGCCGTGACGCCGGGCGCCTTCGTGAGCCGCCAGCTCTGCTCACCGCGCCGCTCTGTCTGGCAGGTCCTGTCCCAGCCATGATCGAGGTGGTGGCCAAGCTGGGCCGCGGGCCCGTGTTCCTGGCCGGGGAGATGCTGGAGTGTGTGATCACCTTCACCAACCCCTTGTCGGCCTCCTCCACGTCCGCCAGCAGGTATGGCAGCGCTGGGGCTGCCGCCGGGTGTGCTGCGGCGGCGCCTATGGGGCGGCGGTGCCAGCTCAGCCCCCGGTGACTTCCCCGCCCAAGGTGTTCCCTAATGGAGCTTTGTGCCATCTCTGTTGCAGGGCGGAAACACAGCTCATCGTTCTGGTTTTCTGCCCCCAAGAAAGAGTCTGGGAAGAAGTATGCGGGTAGAGATGCTGGGAGAGGTGCGCTAAGTGCTCCCCCAGCGAGCCCTCAGCAGCAGCGTTGCTGGCAGAAAATGAAGCTCAGCTGGCTATCAGAGTAGGGTATCTCGTTACACCAGAGTGAGTCTTGCAGGGCAGCGTCCAGGCAGTGTCATTATTTCCAACATTTATGGAAGGAGTTCTGCCTGGCAATGCAGTGATGTGCTGGTGTGATCCCTACCTCCAGAGCCAGCAGGCAGAGGGGAAAGCGGTAGCTAGAGGGAAGGACAGGCAGTCTTCAGCATTTGCTGTGGCCCAGATGCTGAGTGCTGCCTCACTTCTTGTCATGGCTGTGCCAAAGTAGCCTTTGAGGAAAGGTGACAAGACAGGAGCTTCCTACGTTGGCTCACAGGGAGTGACTCACCCAATGGCTCTGTGTCAGCTGTGTGTGCAGCCTTGTCTCACTTCCCAGGGGTGGAGATGGCTTTCCTATCCTGGGTCCTTCCTGGGAAGTGTTTCCTGCCCCATCAGGTCCAGAACCTTTGCATCATCACCAGTATGACTTTCAGAGATGACTTTTGATGGAACCACTTCCAATGCACGCGGTCTCATCAGCGGCAAAGTAGTATATTGTATTAACATCACAGGATATTTCTTAATTAAGTTCCTTAACTTTTCATTGTTTCTTCCATGTTCCTCTTGCCTGTTGAATGTATTAGTGTGTATTTCAAGCACAGGAACAGAAATTAGGGATAGTAAATAAATGGCAGAAAGCAAATCTAGTTGTGATGTGTAAGGTGTTCGATAAAGGAAGCTGTCCTGACCAAAACAGTGTGGATTGCAGCCATTATGGGCTACAGAAAGAGCCGTAATGAGAACTGAGGGAGAGGTGAGCTTGGCTCCTGTGTGGGGTCTGTTTGTGTCCTGCCAGCTGAACAAACAAGGTCTGCTGATAGGAAGGAACATGCAAATTTTGTTTGCAAGTCTGGTTAAAAAATTAGAACAATCTGATGGCACGTTGTTGGGCAAAGCTAAAAATAAATGAAAAATATTCAAAATACCCTGTTTGAAGGACGGTACTATAATCATGCTAAGCTGACATAAAATTGTTAAGCACTGTCTCTTATGCAAGAGTATTTCTCTGCCTCCATGTAACAGATACCTTATGAAAGAAGACCCTAGGGCAGCCCTTAAATAAAGCCATGCCGTTGCTTTTGAAGAATTTCAGCTTGTAGGGTTAGAGGTAACTGGGCAGAGTATCCAGTGCACATTCAGGTAAAGTACATAGGATCAAGTAGCGCATAATTAGCTGAATGAATGCAGCAAACCTCTTTCCCTGGTTCACTTGAACATTTAAGTGGTCTGATTAGTCTCACTGAGAGATATCCATGTGCCGCAGAGGTTCCCCATACCACTTAAAGTTCTGTGTCAGTGCTTACTAATCAGATTGTGATGCAGGATAACAGGGGAGGAACCAGACACTGCCTGCATTCACAAGACTACTACTGAAGTAAAAACAGATAAGGGTTTTGGGAACTGGAAGGTGTCAGTGTGCCTGTAGTGTGACTATAGGGGTTCTGAGGGAAATGGCTGCTGGGAGGGAGCATGTGCAGGGGCAGATGAATCCAGTGAGCAGGTATTACTTCTTTCTGGTTTAATTTGAATCCATACACTTCTGTGATTGTTGTTTTATCACCACACACACCTCAGTGCTGCTGCATGTCACTTTTGGCTTGGGGTTTGGCTTTTTTGTGGCTAAATGTCCTTCCTTCATTAGGAGTGGCCTGTATATGACAACTAAATAAAAATTGCTGCTCAACAAGAGTAATAGAGCCAGGACTTGGGTGATACTGCTATCAACAGCTGTTATCCAGCTGTGGTGGAGGGAGCTTCAGGTCAGCACCCCAGCTCAAGCATGTCCTGGAACCATATTTGGAGAGGGGCTTTAGGGATGGATTCAGTGGCAGTAAAGCAAGACCTCCTTCCTTCTGGAAAAGCAGTCACCCATAGAGTAGGACAAGAAGAGCTGCTATTTTCCTGATTCATGCTCACTACAATCTAGATTAAAGTGTAGACATGAGTGTTGCTTTTCTTTGTTCTCAGTGAGATGCTGGCGTGGGCCAGTGCCCAGATCCACTGCCAGTTTCATGCCAGTGAGAACCGGGTAGTGCTTCCTCCATCTGATGGCAGCAAGCCTGACGTACAGGCAGAGAACGAGACGGTCTTTGTTCCCAACAGAGGTGAGTGATTCTCACAGGTGGTGGAAGTGATAGCACAGCAAGCAGGAATCACACATACTCTGAGAGGGAGGAGGACTGCAATTGCAAAGTCCCTGGTGCTTTCCTTGAGAAATTCCCTGGTGCATGGGCTGCTGCAGGACCTCATTAATGTTGAGATCATAGTGGTGCTAGCTTGGAGGAAAATGTCAGAGTTGTCAGTCCAGCTATCCCAGGAATGTTGCATGGTCTGACCAGGACATGAGATATTTCCTCATCAGCCCCTCTTCTTCCCCATTCCTCACTATGGAAGTGAGGCATGACTAAGCCTGCCACAATGAGTACCCCCTTGTCACCCCAGGGCTGGCCAGGAGCAGCACTTACATGTTCTTCGTCTTTTCCAGGAGAGCGGGGTCAGTGTATCCTGTCCACACCACCAAAGATTCTTTTCTGTGACCTGCGACTGGATCCCGGGGAGTCTAAATCCTGTGAGTTCTGTCTTCTCTTCAAAGCATTCACCTCTGGGGAGCCCCACACTCAAGGTGGCTTTGCAGACCTGAGTGCTGCAAACAGTAGACCCTGGTGCTCACAGAAGGCAAGTGATGGGAGGGTAAATCCTAGGGAACTGCTCCTTGCTGCGTTGTCCAGAATTTGTTCTCTGTATGTATTGCATTGTCCCTCAGTTTTGCTTCTGGCCTGTGCCTCTGCCACAGGTCCGTTGTATAGCTTCAAGGCATGAAAAGTTTTGAAATACCTGGCTGCAGCCAGAGCTACTCACACCTGTGTTTCCCTGCCTCTGTTCCTTCAGACAAATTGAAGCAGTCTGGGAATTTAGGCTGGCATCTGCCAAAACCGTGTGCTTCTCTTCAGGTTGCGGCTGTCTTGGAGACCATTCTACTTGTTCTAATTTTTCTGATCTTTCTGCCATAAAAGTGAGCACTTCTCATTTTCTCTGGCTGAAAGCTCCCTGTGTCACGAAAGCCCACAGACTTCTTCCAGCAGGCCCCCTCTAAGCTATACTTCATCACTGCTTTCCCTTTTGCTGTTCAAAATGAATTTGCAGCAGTCCTAATCCCAGGCAGTGTCTTGTCTGAGAGCTTTCTACCTGAGCAGTCAGCTGTGCAAACACAAAAACGTGCTATTATCCTTTAGTTGGTGGCTAGTGACCCAGCTTGTCACTTCATGTCAGATCTTTGTGTCCCAGCAGCCCGTGGTGGACCAGCAGGTTGCTTCAGGCACTGCAGGTTGTGTATGTATGCATCCCTCAGGTTATCCCAGCAGAAATCTGGTTGGAATGGGTGACAGACACCTCTCAAGTTACAGACTGAGGAAACCAGGTGGAGGGGGCTCTGCTATAGCTTTCAGCAAAGCTGCAAGTTAAAGCAAGAAGCTGTGGGCTATGCCATGCTAGTTTTGAAGCTGACACCTCTTGCCTTTCTTCAAGGAGCTTCAGTTGGTTAGGTGATTAATGGGGTTAAACAGTGCTCTGTGGTGCTTGACTGTAAAGTCTGTCATTCAGGAACGTTTTGTTATACACTTAGTGATGTACAGCAGCACACACGTGAAAGCAGCTGGCTCTACTGCATTGCATCCAAAGATGAATGTGTTTTCTGAATGCCAGGGAGGAGGAGGAGGCAAATATCTCAGGTGGCCTGAGGCTCCCCTGAGTGCTCCTGCGCTCCTTGCTGCTGGCATCTGTGGGGCTGGAGCATTCTTTCTCCCACACATGGAGAGCCCTTTTTTCCACAGCAGCTTGGGTAGGCTAAGCAGGCTCTGGGAGAGCAGAGCAGTGATGACAGTCCAACCCCTAGGTGGCTGGGATGGATTGAGGGGATTTACTTGAGTACTGGCATGGCAGATGGAAGCTGCTGAGCCTACAGCTAAGCCAGTGGTCCCTCTGAGTGATGTTGTATGTTTGCATTCACTCCACTGCTGGGTGACAGTGGCACAAGCATAAGCTCC